TCTTGTAGGCCGAGTTGCTCCACGACCCTCGATCGAATAATATTGGCTGAGCTTCCTGGATCAATTAAAACACGTTTAACCTGAATTTTATTCATAAGGATAGAGATTACCAAAGCATCATTGTGGGGTTGTGAGATCCCTTCTGCTTCCTCATTATTGAATGATAAAGTGCCTTCTGGCACATAGTCTCGAGTTCTTTTTTCCCTGGTGATTGATACTTTAGTGCGTTTGAACACGGGCCCTTGTGGAATATCGACCCCACCAACGATCATGTGAATCACGTGTTGTGGTTCTTCCTGATCGTTTTTCCTGTTTGCATCCATGTCTCTGAAATGTTTTTAGCTCGGTCGCTCAAGAATTCTCGAAGGTGACCCTCGTTGAATAGACGGGCCACCTCCTCCCTTAGTTGTCTGCAGTCTTCGGTTCTATGACCATGTGTACCATGGTATTTGCATATTTGATTGGGATTTCTTTGGGATGGATCGGTTTGTAGGGGTCTGGGCCATTTAGTATCTTTGATTCTCCCAATGGCTGACACAATACCTGATGCATCGATGCTGAAGTTGTATTCTGATAATCGTGGTTCTTCTGTGGGATCAGCATGTTTATCAAAGCTACTTTTGCTCATGAGCCCTCGAGAGCTCTATCCTCGATCGTTCCTTCGATCATTTCGGATGGGATTGTGTCATGGGCCGTTGTTCCTACGATCTGCGTTGTATGGTTAGTACAGATCTCTGTTCAACCGGGGTTCTTTGTCGATATCCCTTTGAGTTCTGCCGACGGGCCTGTTTAGCTAAACGGAACCGGAAGGGGTCCCCAATTGATCATCCTCAACCCTGATATTTGACTGGTACTGATTATGTACATCGACCCAGGTTACCGCTGGATATTCAATTAAATTCTGCTTTAGCTGTCGTGATGCCACCGAACTTCATTCGTTCAAACCTTGAGTAAAGGCTTGAACAACCCAATCGTCTGTGACCAGTGGTAGTTCCATGCGTTCCATATGGAACCGAGATACGAATTCCCTCAATATTTTGTTGTCTTTTTGTTTCACCTTGAAGAGGTTCGACTTCCTAGTCGCAACCTTTATTGCTCCGGTATGTGCCTTTACGAAGGAGTCTGCAAGCATGGCGAAGGAATCGATTGAATTAGGCGGCAAATTGTGGTACCATATCATTGCTCCTTTCGATAAGGTTTCTCCAAATTTCTTCAGTAGAACAGATTCAATCTCATCGTCTTCTAAGTCATTCCCTTTTATTGTGCATGTATAAGAAGTGACATGCTCATTAGGGTCGGTGGTCCCATTGTACTTAGGAATTTCTGGCATTTGGAATTTCTTCGGAATGAGTTTTGGAGCCGCACTTGGAGGGAAAGGCTTTTGTACGAATTTTTTTGAATCCATACCCTTTAGAATCGGCGGTGCCTCCGGTATTTGGTCAACCCGGGAGTTGTATGTCTCTACTTTCTTATCATTTGCCTCGATTTTCTTTTCTCCCGATTCAATCCGTTTAGTGAGCTCCTCGAACATTTTTATAATGACGGGGTCAGTTCCCGATTCGTTGGCGTTCGACCTTTCTGGCACAGGCTCGGTCCTGTGGACAACTTCTGGTTCGATCTTACTCGGTGTTCGGTGCTGATTTTGTAGTTGTACTATAGCGGCTTGTTGAGCCTGTAACATTTCTAATATCAATTAGAGGCTAACTCCACCATCTTCTCCGCCTTGCGTACCTCGACCACCCGATCGAACTTCCCTGCGTATGCTACCTTCGGGATCAAAGCCCAAATTTGCATTTACGGCGACATGTGAACTGACATCGACAGGATTTGCAATTGGTGTTCCCTCGAGGTCAGCTTGAGGCGCCTCGATCCCTGGGGCGGCAATATTGTCATTTTTCCCGTAAAATCCGAGGCCGTTGTCACCATGTGTAGGCGCTGCTTGTGAGTTTGACATGTTTATCCTGAAAACAAAGATTCTTACGAGAACAAGTGTAAAGCAATGTGTGTTATCAGAAGCAGTATTAAGCGATCACTATTATCCTTGGCCCCACGGTGGGTGCCAAACTGTTTACCCTTAAAATTGGATAACAATTAAACTTATAATGTGGTTCTAAGGACACGTGATTTTACTTAATACCAATTGATAAATATGAAGATTAATAACAAAAATGAACTATAAAGTAAAATAAATCAGTGTTAGAATGGAACTCAGCCCTCGAGTTTGGATACCCTTCGAACTGGTTGATGTAAGAACAATCAAATTATAACAAGCTGATGAACAATAGTATAAACGAGAAAGAGAATTATATTATTTTTATATCTGTGAACAATGTGTCTTACAAATGATTAGAACCCCCCTTTAAATAGTAGAGAAATTTCACTTATGGTATAATTCTAATTACAGAAGAAAATCCCATAATTAGCTAATTAACCGTTTCTGATTTGATCCGTTCCGAGATTTACGCCATGACCCTCGACCAGTCACGGATATCTCGCCTTTCTATTATTGTACTATCTTCGATCTTGTTCGTTGTCTTTCTCATTTGGCTTTGATCGCTACTAACTTCGATCTCGACAGGTACTTCGATTCTGAACTCGGTACCTTATCCTCGTGATTTAGTCTGTTCCGTTACGAGGCCATCCTTCGATGCAACCTCCCGGTCTCGGTCAAATAGTAAAATCGGGTGGGTCCGATTTTAACCGTATACATTCTTCAAACACATGACTCTGAATTACTTGTGGACACGGGGGCGAATTATATGTGATCAAGAGTAAATATCTTTGCCAAAAATTACACTGTATATGGGGTGAAATATTATTTGTTACTAATAAAAAAAATTAGATTTTGAACACCCTTGCATAGTCCACTGACAAAGGATATTTAAAATTTGAACACCTTTATTGAATTTTCAGATTTAGTCATTTTGAATTAGTTATATATTTATATAAGCATGTGATTATTGTTAACCGTCTTCTAACCTTTTCTATAAAGTCTCATTTATGCCCATAAAACTATTTTTAATTTATTGAACTATAAAAATATGTCTTCATCCAGAGGTCAATTTTAGTTAGTCATTCTCCATAAGATAAGGTAATTTAGATAGACAAAACGTAAATACCAAGGTGAATGAAAATACATCTTTGGACTTGGAGCAAAAGTTAAAGTTTGTGTACCACTACGTTTTAATTTTGTTTAATTTCTTTTTCCTTTGGGGTGATTCTCTTATTCTTTTTGCTGGTACCCCATGACGAACCTTATATAGTCTGTTTGGCCAAACTGTAAAAATCAGTTTATTTTAAGAAGTATTTTTTTTTAAAAGTATTTTTTTCTAAAGTACTTTTGGAAAGAAACAGTTTGTGTTTGACTAATTAATTTGAAAATCACTTCTAAATAACAATTAGTATTTGACAGACTTTTAAAAATTATTTCTAAGTGTATTTTTCTCAAAATTATTTTTCAAAAAAATACTTTTGGAGAAAAATTATTTTTTCTGTTTCTTCAAAACTGTTTCGTCTTCTCCTTAAAAATACTTTTTTTTTTCTTTCAAAAGCTTGGCCAAACATTTAACTTTGAAAAAACAGTATTTTTTTTAAAAAAAACAAGTATTTTTAGGATCGGATAAGCTAGGTCAAACATGAACTTATCAACCAAAGCAGTACACGTTGCGTCTAGCAATGTTTCCCGCGTACCAAAAAATTTCCTTTTTCTTTTTGTATGTCACATCAATTAACAAAACCATTACTCCAAATCTCCAATAAAGAACTTGGGTATACATTTGGCTTTTTAGTACTTGAACCGTTTTCATTTTATTTTATGTAGTAGTATTATTTATTTTAAAAATTATACTTTTTTATATTTAAATAATTTATTACAAATTTTATCTTTAATAACTATGCATATTTAAAACTATGGGTGTTCAAACCGAAGCAGAAAATCGCATTAAATCGAAAAATCAAACCAAACCGATTAAAAAACCCGATTAGGTTTGGTTTGGTATTGAGTAAAAAAAGTCTGAACCAAACCGCATATAAATATATATATTTTTTAGACTTTATATAAAATTTTCTTTAAAAATATCTAGAAATATTTGGGATCCTCTCATGGGATGTAATATTTAATAAAAATATGAAGTGCATTCATTTTTATTTACTCTAAATAATGGGTTGTATCATCACTTTCTTATCAAATGTTACTGAAATGCGTCAATTATCTTTTTGTTCTTCGATATTCATATGTCAAGATTTCTTATATCTTTTTTGAATTTGAATTAATGGTATTTCGATAATTTAGGTATCATATTGATTTTTATGTTTAATCATTAAATTCGATTAACCTTGAATACATCAACGAAAAATTATTGTTAGACGACTAAAAAAAATAACTATTATGTGTTACTAAAAAAAATTTCCATAAGAATATTTTAATAGATTACATGCTTGTCAATTTTTTTAATTTTTACTATACATATATTCATCTATCAAAACTTTATTTATAATTTTAACAAAGTAATACTGAAATAATATTCATGTAAAAAACCGAAAAACCCAAAAAATCTTAACCGATATAATTGGGTTGGTTTGATTTTGATAAAAACTGAATCAACCATATAAACTATCTATAAGTTTTAAAGATATTTTTTTCTTAAAATAACACTGTAGCTCCAGATAAGCTAACTGATTAGAGAAAAATGAGTATTTTACTAGTACTAATAATAGGTTAACATTGCATGAGAGTATTTATACTAAAAAAATTTATTAACATGTCTAAGAAATGAGGTGTCATTTTGTTTGTTATAAAGTAATGTTTGAGTGGAAAAGTAACCAAGTATTTAAACTTCAGAAATAACTACTATAATTATTTCAAAAGAATAAATGTTTACTAGATTTTCTTTCTAAAAAAAGAAAAAACAATTTTCTCCATCAATTTATAATTGAAAGGAATTAGAAGATGACGTACACGAGCTTGAGGTTCTTTAAAAGAACCAACCGTAACGTATGGACGTGACACAACACCAGTCCCAACATGCTGACTCTTAACTCTCTCTAATTTTTTTCCCTACAAAAAATCAACAAAATTTAGCAAAAACTTCCGCCTTCACGTTCACGAATCTTTTGACAAAGGTTTCCCTTTTCTTCTCACTTGTCTTCTTTCTTTACTTCTCCTACTATTCAATTCATTTTTCCATTTTCTTTTTTGCAGGTTCAGTGCAAATGATCGGGTTTTAAATAACTTGAATTCGTCGAAATTTTTTAACTTGCTTGTTCAGTTTTTGAGCTTGTGTTGACTCTTTTTACAGTTTCTTTTTTCCTGCTTCAGGTTGTTTCTGTTAACAAGTAAGTCCCACCCTTTTGCTTTCCTGTTCTCATCGTCTATTATTTGACCTTCTTTTTTGGGTGTCTCCTATTTGATTAATCTTTTTTTAGAATTTGGGCTGAAAGAATTAATCTTTTTTGTTTATCTGATCATGAGTTTTGTTTAGTTTTCTTTGAAGATGTGTGGAGTGAGAGGTGTGTCTCAGTTAGGATACTGTGTGCTTTGTCAGTTACAATCATCGTTTACTTTACCTTTTTTGTGGGGGAGGAGGAGGGGTGGATAGGTTAATTTTCAGGTTGACTTTAACTATAAGCTTGAATTATTGTTTCTAACCTATAAATGAAAAAGTAAAACAACAACAACAACAACAATACCTTAATTCCAAATAGATTGGGGTCGGTTGCTATATGAATCTTTAAATCTTTATTTAAACTCAACTCATGTCATCATTATACCAAATAAAATTAAAAGTGAAAAATAATTTAAATATATTTTATATTTATTTTGAAGAACAGAACACCCCAGACCCCATTTATGGGATAACTCTGGGTTTGTTGTTGTTGTTGTTGTCTGAAGAACAGAACACCATGGAAACAAGGTACCCCAATAGGAGGTACCAACTAGCTGGAGCAAAGGTTACTATTATTGGCACACTTACATGTCCAATGGTAGAGAGGAGTCTCTTAAGTTTTGTGAGATTGTATGACAGTGTAGGGGAAGGAGTGAGATTTGGAGCATTCAGGGTTTTAGAGAATCATTATATTGTCCTAAAAGACAAAGTGCAGAGTAGTGGAATAAATGGGCCTAAATGGAATAGAGTGGATACAGATTCACTCACCAAATAGTTTTAGATTGATAGATTGCTGATCTCAAATGCTATGACAGAATTCTTAATGTGAACACTGACTAAATGCTACTACTGAAGGAGAGTTTATTTGGGTATTTCTCTGCAATTGCCTGATTTAACCTTTATCGCGTGCATCCAAGAAACTTTTAGAGTCTAAAAAAAAAGGGCAGTTCAGTGCACTAAGTTCCCGCTATGCGAGAGGTCTGGGAGGATCGGACCACATTGGATTTTATGTACGTACTCTTACCTTGTATTTCTGCAAGAGACTGTTTTTGCAGCTTGAACCCATGACCTCTTGCTCACATGGCGGCAACATTTACCGGTGTCCCAAGGTTCCCCTTCTTTTGAAGTCTAGAGTGAGGGAAAGTTAGAAGATCGTTTAAAGTTTCAGCAAGCACCAAAAAGAAAAGAGAGAGGTTATACGAGAGCTGCTTTACTGGCTGAGCGTCTTCCACTACAAGATTTCATATTGTAAATATGTAGTTGCTTGTTCTACTGTAATACAGGTTTGACCTTTGTTATGTAATTGTATTATGTATATCTCTTCCAGAGATTACTATTTGATCCCTTTGACGAGATGATCTCTAACTTAATATATATGAGCTTCAGTTTACTCCCGTGGTGGTTTCCTATGTGCCTTCTTTTCATGAATTCCTATCTTTAGAAAATAAGACTTCTTATTACAGGAGAATGGCTGGGAAAGCTGTGGTTAAGCAGCCAACATCTGCATTCGACTTTGAGATTGTTGAAGGTGTTTCTGATAAGCTTACAACTGTTGTGGCATCCTCTAGCCAGAGTAGCCCATGGATTGACCCTGCAACTATTAAACTTAGACAGAGAATTGGAAGGGGTCTATTTGGTGATGTTTGGTTAGCAACTCGTCACCAAGCCACTGCAGATTATGACGAGTATCATGAAGTAGCTGTGAAGATGTTACATCCTATGAAGGAGGAGAACATCAATGTTGTCTTAGATCGGCTGGGAAATTTGTTTACTCAGTGTCAAGAACTACAACATATTTGCTGGCTTCAGGGTCTGTCTGTGATAAATGGAAAGGTGAATATATTCTCGCAATAATGTTAATGCTATAAGTTCTTCTGCCTTTCTGAAATACTGTAAACACCCCTGCAGCTATGCATTGTTATGAAGTTCTATGAAGGTTCTGTTGGTGATAAAATGGCTCGTGCAAAAGAAGGAAAGCTGTCCTTGCCAGATGTTATAAGGTGATACTGGTGTAGTTTTGATTGAGAATGAGTTTTGGTCCATACTAAAGTTGTGTGGGAAAATATGATATAATGACATATGCATTCTGGTGATCATACAGGTATGGGACTGATCTTGCTCGTGGGATAATGGAGTTACACACAAAGGAGATCTTGATTCTTAACCTTAAACCTTATAATTTCCTTTTGAATGAAAACGACCATGCAATTTTGGGGGATATTGGGATTCCTTATCTGCTTCTTGGAGTTCCTTCGTTGAGTTCAGATATGTCAAGAAGACTTGGCACCCCGAATTACATGGCTCCAGAACAATGGCAGCCAGAAGTTAGAGGTCCCATATCCTTTGAGACTGACTCATGGGGATTCGGTTGCAGCATTGTGGAAATGCTGACCGGTTCTCAGCCATGGAGTGGTAAATCAGTTGATGAAATATTTAAATCTATTGTAAAGAGACAAGAGAAACCACATATTCCTGAAGGACTCCCTCCTGCGGTTGAAAGGGTCATAATTGGTTGTTTTGAGTATGATTTCCGGAATCGCCCTCTGATGGGAGACATTTTGCATGCATTTCTAAGGTATCTAATTTATTTTACGTTGGAAGGCAATTCCTTCCTGTCTTTTAGCTTTGCTGTATGTTTCATTTTCTAAAAGAATCAAAGTTACAGAACTGGTTGTTTTAGGGGTTTGATATCTGATTCAGCCACTAGAATTTGCTTAAAAGAAACAAAAGAAGTGAGAGCATGTCTCGCTTAAGAGTCTACACTCTGGAGTAAGCTCTAACTTGAATACTTTTTTCTTTTTGTGTGTGTGTTTGT